GGCTTGTCATATGTGGCCTTTATTATATGGAGGTTTATTCCCTCTATACCCACTTTGTTGAGAGTTTTTATCATAAAAGTATATTGAATTTTGTCAAAAGATTTTTCTGCATCTATTGAGATGATTTTTATTCTTCAATTCATTAATGATTTTTATTCTTCAATTTGTTAATGATTTCTGTTCTTCAACTTGTTAATGTGGTATATCACATTGATTGATTTGCAGATATCTTTGTATCCCTGGGATAAATCTCACTTGATCATGAGATTTCAGTGTATTTTTGAATTCACTCTGCTAATATTTTCTTGGGTATTTTTGCATCTATATACATCAATGATATTGACCTAAAATTTTCTTTTATTTTGTAAAGTTTTTGTCTGGATTTAGTATCAGGGTGATGCTGGCCTCTTAGAGAGAGTTTAGAAGCATTTCCTCCTCTTTGATTTTTTGGAATAGTTTGAGTAGGATAGGTATTAACTCTTCTCTAAGTGTTTGGGGACTTCCCTGGTGAGCCAGTGGTTGAGAATCCGCCTTCCAGTGCCGGGGACGTGGGTTTGACCCCTGGTCGGGGAACTATTGATGAGATTCCGCGAGCTGCAGGGCAGCAAGCCCCAAGCTGCAACACCTGATCTGCAAGCACCGCAGCGCCCACGGGCCACAACCAGAGAAAGCCCGCACACTGCGTGAAGACCCAGCACAACCAAAACACGGAGTCTGGTGGAACACAGCTGCGAAGTCATCTGGTCCTGGACCTCTGCTTGCGGGAATTTTTCAAAAACTGTTGATTCAAAAAAAAAATTTCTGTTGATTCAACTAATTAAAGGTAACTGGTCTGTTCATGTTTTTCTATTTCTTCCCGGCTCAGTCTTGGGAGATTGTACACGTCTAGGAATGTGTCCGTTTCTTCCAGGTTGTCCATTTTATTGGACATGCGTGAGGGCACACAGCGCCGACCAGTGAGACTCATGCCGGCTTCCCGGGGCCAGGGGGCCCCCAAGCAGCACAGCATCCTGGCCTGTGTGAAAGCCCGCTGACCCTGCCCAGCCCCACAGTTTCACTCTGAGAGAAGTGATTTCTGGCTTCTGCAGTTACAGGCCCAGGACCTGACCTCTCCTGAAGAGCAGGGCCTTTGGTGGGAGCGGGAGACGCTGAGAGCTGACAGGGGTCCAGGTCTCCTCCCAGGCCCCCCTCTCTGGGGCAGCACCTGGAGAAGACCATCCCAGTCTCCCTCTAATAGTGGTCAGTGCCAGCTGCCCTGGGTCAGAGGTGCTTTATTTCCGTCTCTCTCTCTCTCTGGATGGTATTCTATGGAAGCTGAAGTTTCCTGGAAGTTATGAATGGCTTCACCCTGAAGGGAACGGTTTGGAGTCATGGTTCACAGGAACTTGGGAAACCCTGCAGCTCAGACGTCCCGAGGTTGGTGGCACCCTGATTTCCTAAGCTCGCTGGGGAACGGGGCACTTGTTTCTCCCTGGCTGACCTCCCTCCGCCCTGCATCACCCAGTTCTGAGAGCAGAGCGGTGCTGGAGGGCACGNTCCATGTCCCCGTTTTCTCTCACAAGGACACCGGACATTAGATTAGCCCCCGTTCCAGCCTCACCTGAACAGCTCACATCTGTAAAGACCTAGATTCCAAACAAGATTCCATCCTGAGGTTCCCAGTGGACGTGAGTTATGGGGCCACACCCTTCAACCCCATCACAGCTTGCAGTTCGTCACAAAACATGGAACCTGGGGTTTATTGTAAAACCCAGGTTCATCATGAAACACTGAGTTTCAAGACTTGTTGCAAGAATTAAAGGTGTTAATACAGATCAGGGCAAGGACTGGAGCTGGCCAAGCCTCCTCTTTCCGTCACAGCACCCCCGGCCCTGGGGTGGCCGGGGGTGCGCTCCTGTGGGTGGGCTCTATCCTGGTACAGTCACCAACAGTCTCTTCTCTGGGAAGGAAACCAGAGGCCAGATAGCAAGCTAGAGCTAGTCTAGGAGACCCCTGAGCCTCCATCCAAGATGCTGACCAGGCCAGCGGGCCCCCTGGAAAGGCCCTACAGTCCAAGGTGGGGAACGGGGGCTGACCCACCAGGCCCCCACTATCAGGAGACACCCCCACCTTGCTCCTGTTCCCCTACCCCAATATGCCCACCGCACCCCTGAGATGAGCGATTTAGTCGCTTACAATGTCGATTGATGATTTTGCACCCCTTTGCTAGAGGCACAGGGCACCCACAGCCTGCCGGGTACCGATGCCCGTGTGGACTCAGCCAGGAGGACTGTCCTGTGCCCTCCCTGCTCGGGCCCCCTCCGTACTCAGCCACACACCCAGCACCGACCTTCCCATCACTCAGCTTGCTGTAGCCTGAGGGTGTGGAGGGAAGTGCCCTGGGAGATTTAAAATGTGGGAGGTGGGAGGTTGGGTCCTGTAGGCCTTCCCATCCCACTGCCTGCATGGAGCCCAGTGCTGCTGGGCCTTGCCCCACCCCAGGGATCAGGTCACTTTCCCGTCCTGGGGGTTATCACAACTGTTGTCACTGTCGTTGCCGTTTTTGCTGCCCTAACTGGGCAGCAGGTGCTTGCAGAACTCTCGATACTGACCAGGTTCCCCCTCGGAGCTCGACCTGAACCCCGAGTCACCATCACCCCAGCCTGCAGAGGGTGAGGTGACTGCAGAGATCCCGTCACCCAAGGCCACGGTCACATGGTTTGGAGGAGCTGGTGCCCGAGGCAGAAGCTGGAGGAACCAGGCGGGACCGCAGCCTGCCGGGAGGCCTTGCCCAGCAGAGTGGGGTGGGCAGAGCAGGGGTCGACAGGGAGCTGCCAGGAAGAGCTGCCCGCAGGACAGAGGAGAGGGGAACAGGTGACACGGGCAGACGGCCACTCCCTGGCCATGTCCCTGGGTTCTGGCAGGCATGGGGCTCTCTGGCCATTGGCTGACCCATGGCCCACCCTCTAGGACACAGCTGTCCCCAGTGCTGGCTCTGACCTGTCCTTGTCTAAGAGGCTGACCCCAGAAGTGTTCCTGGCGCTGGCAGCCAGCCTGGACCCAGAGCCCGGACACCACCCTGCAGACTTCTGGGGCCTACCAGGAACCGTTCAGGCCCAGAGGGGGCCTTCCTGCTTGGCCTCGGATGGAAGAAGGCCTTCTATTGTCCTTGTAGCGGAAGTCCCCCGGAGGGCCCGAGGATGGGCCAAGGGGGGAATTCCGGGAACCAGGTGGCCGGGGGCCCTGCCCAGGCTGGCTGGCCGGCCCTCCTCCTGTATAAGGCCCCGAGCCCGCTGTCTCAGCCCTCCACTCCCTGCAGAGCTCAGAAGCGCGACCCCAGCTGCAGCCATGAAGTGCCTCCTGATCGCCCTGGGCCTGGCCCTCGCCTGTGGCGCCCAGGCCATCATCGTCACCCAGACCATGAAGGACCTGGACATCCAGAAGGTTCGAGGGTGGCTGGGTGGGTGGTGAGTTGTAGGGCGGGCAGGGGAGCTGGGCCTCAGAGACCAAGGGAGGACAGAGGAGGCTGTGACGTCCGGGGTTCACATCAGCCAGGTAGAGCCGCCTGACAAACCCCCCGCCAGCGCGGCTTCAATGAGGCGTTTACTGTCTTGCATTCTGGAGGCTGGAAGCCCGAGATCCAGGCGTCAGCCGGGCTGGCTTCTCCTGCGGCCGCTCTCTGGGGAGCAGAGAGTCGTCTTCTCCCTGTGTCCTCTGCGCACCCTGATTTCCTCTTCCTGTGAGGTCTCCAGGCCTGCTGGATCCGGGCCCGCCCGCACAGCCTCATGTGACCTTGGTCATCTCTTTAAAGGCTGTGTCTCCAGAGTCATGTGTTGAGGTTCTGGGGGTTAACGGGACACAGTTCATCCCCTAAAAGGGTCGCTCTGCCCCTCAACTTTTCCCCACCTCCAGCCGTGTCTCCCCAAGATCCAAACGCTGCCACAGGTTCAGGGGCTCATCTGGGTCCCTCTTTGCGCTCAGAGTGAGTCTGGGGAGAGCATTCCTCAGGGTGCAGAGTTGGGGAGGTTGTCTCAGGGCTGCTCAGGCTGGGGTGGGACAGAGGGCCCACTGTGGGGCTGGGGGGCCTGGGGACCCNAGCATGGAAACCCCACTCCCCAGGGCAGTGGGCACCCCCCTAGCATGGAACCCCCACTCCCCAGGGCAGTGGGCACCCCGCCCAGCATGGAAACCCCACTCCCCAGGGCTGTGGGCCCCCCCACCCCCGTGGTGGCGTGCAGGCAGGACCAGGGCCCCAGGGCCGGGGAAGGGGGCTCGGAGTTTCCTGGAACACCTGGAGTCCTCCCAAGGCTGCCCACCCAGGGCTCTTTATTTTTTTTTTAATTTTTATTAATTTGATGCTTCAGAACCTCATCAAACAAATGAACATAAAACATCATTTTCGTTAACTTGGAAGGGGAGATAAAATCCATTGAAGTGGAAATGCATAGGAAACATACATACAGTAAGGCAGGTGGTCTGAATTTCCTATTAGGCTGAGGATTACAAATGAACTTGAGCAACGGAGAGACATTTTCACCCTTTCTAGTCTGAACACCTCAGTATCTAAGTGAACAAGATGTCATGGAAACAAAGCAGTGTGGGGAGAGGCCCGTGTGAAGGCCGCTGGGCAGCTGCTGACCTGGGTCCTCGGCGCCCAGGCAGTTCCCATTACCAGCCCTGTCCACCCTCGGACGGGGGTCAGAGTGCAGGAGAGAGCTGGATGGGTGTGGGGGGCAGAGGTGGGGGCCTGAACCCCAGGACTGCCTTGTAGGGGTGCCTGTGGTCAAGGCACTCCCCGACCTTTTCTCCCTGGCTCCATCTGACTTCTCCTGGCTCATCCACCCGGTCACCTGTGGCCCGAGAGGTGACAGTGGGTGTAGCCGAGGCTGGTTGGCCAGCCGGCCCCTATGCCCATGCCACCCCCCACCAGCTCCTCCTGGGGCCGGCTTCCGCCCCCGGCCCTCAGTTCATCCTGATGAAAATAGTCCAAGCCCAAGGCTCAGAAAGCAGCTGTCTTTCAGGGAGAATGGCAAGTGTGCTCAGAAGAAGATCATTGCGGAAAAAACCGAGATCCCTGCAGTGTTCAAGATCGATGGTAAGTGTCGGGTCCCTGGGGGAGGCCCACCACACCCACCGGGGGCTATGGGCAGGTGTAGGGGGCTGGCGTTGGGCCCCGGGATGCTAAGGGGCTGGTGGTGATGAAGACACTGCCGTGACACCCGCTTCACTGGCCTCCCCGCTGCCTGCCCAGGGCCTTGGGGCGGGTGGCCGTGGGCAGGTCCTGGCTAGGCAGGTCTGACTCCCCAGGGCGATTCCCGAGCTCTCTTTGCTGTGGGGGAGGGCAGAGCTCGGGGCCCTCAGGCTGAGCTCAGAAGGCACCTGTGCCCTCCCAGGGGGAACCGAGAGCCACTGCCCTCTCCAGGGGTCCAGGAGCCCCGTGACCCCCAGCCCACTCCACGGGCTCCTTCATCTCCTGGAGAAGAACTCTGTCCGCCCTCGCTCGTTCACTTGTTCCTCCTAAATCGGAGATGAGAAAGCTTCAGGGGGGTCGGGGCTCCTTCAGGGCCTGCCCTTCCACCGGGCAGCCTGGGCCACATCTGCCCTTGGCCCCTCAGGACTCACTCTGACCAGAGGCCCACTCGCTGACTGATGCCAGGGTGCCCGGCCCACGGTCTCCAGTGCCATCCAGCTGCACTGGATTTGGATGTTGGTCCTGCCCCCCAAGCTACCCAGACACCACAGGGCAGCCGGGGCCACCCGTTGGCCTCGGTCAGGGCGAGCCCCAGCTCCCCCCGCTCAGGGCTGCCCCCCAACAATGCCCCCGTCCTTAGGACGCACCCCTCCTCCCTCGCTGGGTGGTGTCCAGCCCCACCCGAGATCAAGGGGAAGCCCTATTTCTTGAGCACTCTGGTTCTTGGGGGAAGGGGGCCTCAGACTGAGTGGTGAGTGTTCCCAAGTCCAGGAGGTGGTGGATGGTCCCCGGCAGACCCAGAGTTGAGAGCCGGGGCTCCCCGGGCCCCATGCGCCTGGCAGTGGTGGCAGGGAAGGAGCCGCACCATTTCGGGGGTGGAGGACGCCAGAGGCGCTCCCCACCCTGTCCTCGCCGGGTGGTGACCCCAGGGGAGCCCCGCTGGTTGTGGAGGCAGGGCTGGGGGCTGACCAGCAACCCCCCTCCTGCTGGAACTCACTCCCCTCCCGTCCTGGTCTCTTCCAGCCTTGAATGAGAACAAAGTCCTCGTGCTGGACACTGACTACAAAAAGTATCTGCTCTTCTGCATGGAAAACAGTGCTGAGCCCGAGCAAAGCCTGGCCTGCCAGTGCCTGGGTGGGTGCCGACCCTGCCCAGGGAGCCCAGCTGTGTGGTCCTCACTGCAACGGGGGGCGGGGAACTCGATCCCCAGGAGGAGGAGGGATGGCGGGTCCCTGAGTCCCGTCAGGAGAGAGTGGTCACTTACCGGGACCTGGTCTCCTGTGGGCCTGTGGGTGACTGGGGACGGGGGACAGACACACGGGCTGGGAGACAGGTAGGCTGCAGCACTGTGACTGGTACAACCATCTCGATGGAGCCGGCGGTCACTATGAATCTAACAGCCTTTGTTACCGGGGAGTTTCAATTATTTCACCGAATAAGAACTCAGGCACAAAGCCATCTTTCAACTATCACGTCCTGAAAACAAATGGCAGGTGACATTTTCCATGCCGTAGCAGTGCCACTGGGCGCTTTCAGGGCCCCTGTGCCAGGCGGGCGTGGGCACTGGGGAATGGAGGCTCCTGGCCGTGTCAGCCTGCCCAGGGGGAGGAGGGGACCCAGACAGCCAGAGGTCGGGGGCGGGCTTTCCCCCTGTGACCCTGCAGACCCACTGCACTGCCCTGGGAGGAAGAGGAGGGGACTGGGCCAAGGGGAAGGGCAGGTGCCCGGGAGAGCAAGGGCAGACCTGCAGACCACCCTGGGCAGCAGGGACTGACCCCCGTCCTGGCCCCACAGTCAGGACCCCGGAGGTGGACGACGAGGCCATGGAGAAATTCGACAAAGCCCTCAAGGCCCTGCCCATGCACATCCGGCTCTCCTTCAACCCGACCCAGCTGGAGGGTGAGCACCCAGGCCCAGCCCCGCCCCGGGGGCAGGAAGCCACCCGGCCAGGGGCACCTCCTCCCATGGTGATTCCCAGCTCCCTAGGTCTCCCGGGGAGGATGGAGAGGGGGTGCAGGGGCCTGAGGTGGGCCCCTCTCTACCCCGTGCCAGGGGCCTCTTCCCAGGGCGTCCAGTCCCTTCCTGACCCCCCCACGACTCTCCCTCCCCCACAGAGCAGTGCCGCATCTAGGTGAGCCCCTGCCGGCGCCTCTGGGGTAAGCTGCCCGCCCTGCCCTTGTCCTGGACACACACATGGGGTAGGGGGTCTTGGTGGGGCCTGGGATCCCCCATTAGGCCCTGGGGTTGCCCAGTGGGAATGGCTGGAAGCTGGGGTCCCTCCTGGCGACTGCAGAGCCGGCTGGCCGCATGCCCACTCTTGTGGGGTGACCTGTGTCCTGGCCACACTCATACACTGACCTCCTCTAACTCCTGGGCAGAGCTAAGGGCCAAGGTGGAGGTCCAGGAAGTGGGCACCTCAGGGGAAGGCTAGGGGTTCCTTTTCCTGAGGAGGGGCCGTCCTGCACCCCCAGCCGTGGAGAGGCTGGCAAGGGTCTGGCAGGTGCCCCAGGAATCACAGGGGAGCCCCATGTCCATTTCAGGGCCCGGGAGCCTTGGCCCCTCTGGGGACAGACGACGTCACCCCTGCCTCTCCCATCCGGGGGACCAGGAGGGACCGGGACAGCGGTCACCTCTCCTGGGACCCAGGCCCCTCCAGGCCCCTCGTGGGGCCTCCTGCTCGGGGCCGCTCCTCCTTCAGCAATAAAGGCGTAAACCTGTGCGCTCCCTCCTGAGTCTTCCCTGGACGATGGGCAGCGGGTGGAGGCCGGGGGCAGGGTGGGGAGTGGTCTGGCTCAGAGGGTGACAGAGGGGCTGGGAGCCAGAGCATCTGCATCACAGCCTTGTGACATCCGGGGGCCCACACACATCACTGCGGCTCTTTGAAACTTTCAGGAACCAGGTAGGGACTCGGCAGAGACACCTTCCAGTTAACTTGGAGTGTTCAGCCAACACCCAAACTCCACAAAGGACAGGAAGTGGAAAATGGCTCTTAGTCTAATAAATATTAATATGAAAACTCAAGTTGCTCATGGATCAAATTCTGCCCTTTGACAAATCCAGCTGCTACTGTCGGTGTCAAGCTTCATGTACCCAAAACTCACTGATCTTTTCTGTGCTAAAATGAAATAGAGAGATTTCCCCAGGATAGAGGAGCTGAACAAAGGAGGTCACGGTTAGAAGGAGACTTGTTCTGCACACACATCTGAGCATCACAAATAGAAAAGAGGTATATAGCAACAGACGTGGGGATTTTTTAAATGATAAGAATAATTTATACATAACATAGTATATACTCATGTTTATATATCTACGTGAATGCTCACTCAGTCATATCCGACTCTGGGACCCATGGACTGTAGCCCTCCAGGCTCCTTCTGTCCCCAGAATTCTCCAGGCAAGAATACTGGAGTGGGGAACCATTTCCTCCTCCAGGGAATCCTCCCGACCCAGGGATCGAACCCGCATCTCCTGCATTGGTAGGCGGTTTCTTTACCACTGCGCAACCAGGGAAGCCGTGTTACTGTCTGTGTCCCACTTAATTACCAAAGCTGCGCCAAGAAAAACCCCCTATGACTCTGAGCTTCCTGGCCTGCAGGGGGTGGTGGGGGGAAACTGTGACCTGGGAACACCCCTCCCGCTTCAGAACTCCCGGGCCCTGTGACCCATACTCCTGCAGGCAGCCCGGTAGTACTGCTTTTCACGGCTCACTATCTTAAAAAAACTGAGGTCTATTTTGTGACTTCCCTGCTGTAACTTCTGAACACCCAGAGCGTTGGACGGCCTCCTCCCCAGGCCTCAGGGGCTTCGGGGCGCTGGCCTTCACCCACGAGTCACCAAACACAAGGGGGTGGCCCCGCCTCCAGGGAGCTCACAGTCTTCCCATCGTCCTGATCAAAGAGAGAGAGAGATCAATGACTTCTTAGGAGCAAGCGGACACCAAGATGATCCTTTTGAACCTAAAGACACACGGCTCTCAAAGGTTTTCTTGGTTTGAATCTGGATTTAACGCCTATTTGCCCCTCAAGAGGGAAGACACTCATGCATGTCCCCAGGACAGCCGCTCGGTGGCATTCGAGGCCACTTAGTATTATCTGACCGCACCCTGGGATTAATTGGTCCAAACTGTACAAAAACCTTGGTGGGAAATTTCATCCCAGAGGCTTAACCATCCTGCTTTTACTACCCTGCATCTTTTTTTCTTTTGTGTGTATATATATATTTTTTCATTTTTTGGCTATGCTGGCTCTTCGTTGCAGTTCAGAGCACAGGCTTTCTCTCTAGTTGCAGTTTGAGAACCTCTCTCGCACAGTCTCTAGAATGCATGGGCTCAGTAGCTGCGTCGGGCAGGCTTAGACACCCCTTGGCATGTGGGGTCTTTGTTCCCTGACCAGGGATCAAACCCGCCTCCCCTAGACTGGAAGGCAGATTCTTAACCACTGGACCACCAGGGAAGTCCCCGACTTGCCTGCATCTTAACCTAGAAAACTGCAAACACAGGAAGATTCAGAGCCTCTGTAACTGTTATAGGTGAATCTGGTTAGCATCCTCTGCCAGTCACCTGCAGTGGGGCAAGCCCGCTCTCCGTGATGTGCCAGTCCCACATTAACCAGACACATCAACTATAATCCTTTCTGACTCAGGCTCTGATGCCTTAGCCTGGTGACTGTCCTGGGTCTGCTAAGGCTGGGCAAGCCCAGTGACCACCACATGTGAGCCACGCGAGTGGGGCGCCCAGCTCAGAACCTCACGGGTGCCTCTGACTTGTGTGAGCAGGGACAGACTGAGGAGGGAGGAGGGGCAGGGAGGAAGGAAGGGAGGGGGTCTGGGGAGCACCCCTGCCCATCCACGCCTGGATGAAAGCCCCTATTCCCCCCGCTTTCCAGATCTAGCTGTTTCCGGTCCGGGGCTGCTCCCTATGCCCTTCAGAGAGGCCGTTCTTTAGCAATGTATTCGCTGTTTCAGCAGAGTTCTTTACATTTTCAGCTTGTGCATCTTTTTCAGAAAGGGTTTAAGTCTTGGGTGCTGCTTCCTATTAAAGAGGCCAGCAGATCACGAGCAAGGCTGAGCTGGATCCTCGGCTGTGCTCACAGGGGCAGGCCCACAGAACGCACCTGACCGCAAGAGGAGGCCGGGGAGGGCGGGGGAGAGATGCCGGGGAAAACAGGCACCAGCAGGGGCCCCCAGGGCAGCGGCGGGGCGAGGTATCTTTGCCCTTCTGGTCTGGCGGATGGAAGGACAGATGCCCCAGGAGGCAGGCCGGGAGGGGACAGCTGGGCCCCAAGAGTGGGCAGGCCCACCTCCCACGGCTCCCAGGACAGAGCAGCAGGATGAAACGGCCCCGACAGCCTCAGTGCCAGGCCAAACGACACCCTAAACACAAGGCAGGTAGCGAAGTGGCCGCCATCCCTGGGGAGCGATTCTGGAACTGTCCGGGGGTCCAGCTGGGACAGCCGGGTGGTCAGCAAGTGGCGGCTGGAGGACGGGCACAGAGAAAGGGCCCGGGAGTCCAGCCTCTCCCCTCTGCGGCCGCGTGGTCTGCAGAGAGGGCCCTCCTGCGGCCGACCCTGTCTGAGCCTGGCTGGGCCTGGCTGGGCCCGGAAGACTCTAGCAGTGCCTGGGCAGCCAGGCTTTGACTCCCAAACGGTGAGCACAAGGCGCAGCCCTGGGACAAGGGCCTGGGTGCTCGTGTCAAGCTGAGGCAGCGCTCGGGGCCGGCGGGAGAGGGCCGGACAGGAAAGACACGCGAGCGAGGGTGGGGTGTCTGTCCCCCGAGACGGGAGCCAGGGCCTCTGCACTCCTGTGCTGCCAGACAAACTACAGCCGCTGGGACCAGCAATCAGGCAGTGGGGAGAGGGGACCCAGGGCCTGGCTGAGCACTGGCCATGTCACTGCTGGGACCCCAAGAGGGGCCAGTCCTGGGGGTGAGGAGGACTGACCCCACCTGCCCCTCCCCCTCACTGTGCTGGTCTGAGGTCAGTTTCAGGATGCCCCTCTCCCTCCCTGGACCCGGGCATCGTGTGTGGAGTCCCCAGTGGACAGTGCCTGGACAGGAGGTGCTGAAGGCAGTCGGGGAGAGGGCGGTCAGGAGGTGGATGCTCCCCCCGCCCAAGCCTGTGGGCCAGCCCCTCTCCCTCCCTGGACCCGGGCATCGTGTGTGGAGTCCCCAGTGGACAGTGCCTGGACAGGAGGTGCTGAAGGCAGTCGGGGAGAGGGCGGTCAGGAGGTGATGCTCCCCCCGCCCAAGCCTGTGGGCCCCCTGACCACCCAGGCAGCACTCAGCCCTGAGACTCACCCCAAGAGCCAAGACTGGGGGCTCCGGGAGCCACATGGCCAAGGAGCCTCACCCACCCTGTGCCCACACCCCTGCAGGAGGGAGGTCGCTGTCTGACCAACCAGCTGGCCGCCAGTCACGCACACCTGGTCTTCCCAGCTGACCCCCAAGACTCGCTCTCGCTCTCCACGCCATCTGGACCCGAGATGAGGACGCAGAGCTCATCTTGCCCTGGACGTGAGCGTGTTCCCTGCAGCTCTTCGGGCCTCCCAAGGGCCAGGCCAGTGGTTAGAACCAGAGGGACATGTGGTTCAAAGTCGAAGGCCGGACTTCAGAACCTCAGAATCTTTTTGAGGAAGGGCCGGCGGGAAACGCACATACAGCCCCCTACTGCAGGGTGGCGCACAACCCCCCGCCACCCCGTGTTCCTGCAGCTGGGGGAGCCCAGTGGGGGGGGGCTGTGCTTCCACCCCCGGGGGGTCAGTCGGGGAGACCAGTCGCAGGGGCCAGGACCTGTGCTGACCGCAAGGATGTACCATAGCCTGGATAGTCACGGCCAGACACCATGCAGCCGCCCTACAGTCCCCGAGTCTGTTGGCACACAGCCCCTCCCCCCGTGAGATGCTGAGGTCCCCTGCGTGGGGGGCACAGAGCGGGCAGCCTAAGGTCAGCTCAAAGCCCAGGTGACCGGGCACAGCCAGGCCCCAGGCCCCACCCCGAGACCTGGAACTGCCAGCTGAGGATGGAGTGGGGGCCAAAGCCCCTCCTGCCCCATGCCGGCACCCCGTGGGCCAGCCCCCTTCTCTGGCTGGGAGACCTCCAAAGCCCAGGGGTCCGAGAACCTGGGGGATGCAGGAACCCCAGAACCTAGCATAGCACCAGGCC